TTCCTCAAGACCCTATTTTTCGATGGAGAAGTTCCCTTTGACTATGCTTCGCAAACGCTTCACCGCTTGATCATCTGACTATTTCCCAGCATCATCCCAATTATCAACGCAAGTCAGCCTCGCCGGTCGTGTCTGCCGGGTTCCAAATGACCACGGCATCTTTTCGGTACAGCTGCGGTCGGAGCAATAATAAAGTACTGAGTATGGGACGCCTTACTTCAGAGATGTCAAATCCCATCACATCACACATGGAAATTGGCTGCCTGAACAACGCAGTATGCCCAGGTGGTTATACGGCAAGGACGGCACTTGGCGCATGTCACGTATATTGTGCCTCATGTACAACAACTCACATATACCTTGTGACTACCCAGCCTCGCAGTAAAGAAGCTTTCCGTGACAGAGGGCCTGATGTGGAGGTGGCACAGTGAAGCTCAGCGGTGTGGGACGCTCAAGACATATAAAGTGCTAGACCATAGCTTGTATGCGCCCTCCAAGATTTCAAAAGCCCGTACAAGTCTACACCTCCTACTTGTCTGTTATACCATCGTGGAGCTTACCCAAGTCAAAAGGCTTCAAGATGTTGCTCCCAACCTCGTTTTTACTTACCTCGTTCGTGGCTTCCGCGTCCGCACAATACGCCCTCAACAGTTCCGTCGGTTCGTGTGCCGACGTACACTGCCCTGAGGCTCCCCTTGATGGAAGCAATGCCATTAAAGCAGAATGCAATGTCACCAACAGAACCTATGAGAGGATCGGGTTCAGATCCTTCTCCACCGCCATCCTCGATGACAGCAACAGTTTGACGTGGACACTCGCCGCCCATCTCGACACAGACGTTCCCATCAAGGATCAAACCACGGAGAAAGACTTCTATCTCGGCACCCCTCCGTCTCTTGAACTCGATCGCGACGACCTGCCGTACCGGGGTTGCGCTGTGTTCATATATAATACCACCTTTGGACGGAACTACTCATGGGATTGCGCAGAGGCGATTGGAGCGAGCTGTATTTCGTCGCTGGTAACCCAGGCCAACACACTGCTGGCACTTTCTCCGTCCAATGCAACTGAGACAACGGAAGAGAGCTGCATGCGCGTACAGAGAGGAATGGAGACTTTCCCAACGGAATGTACAGAGAAGACAAACATGACTTCCTGGAATGCAATTTCAGCTATACGTTCGTATACCCATTTCATTCAAAGAGATAGCCCGGTGCTAACTTCTTCTAGCACTTACTGGCAAGGGAGCGCCTACGCCGCCAAACTCTTCTGCCAATGCGAGCTCCAACTGTCATCCGACCCTCCCCAAGTCCAACGATCTCAGTTTGGCCTTTAGCCATAATGAAACCGGCGTGGGTTCATTTACAGATATCATCATCACCACATTCTGGTCGCCAGACAAAGGCGTCGACAATGCGCTGAGTGTTCCCGACACACAGCTCATGTGCCTGTGGGTAAACGGGCTAACAGACGCCTCGGTGGCTACTCACACCGAGAGTCCGGCCAGCCGTTTCTCCATCAGCATGGTGGGTCTTGTAGTATGCGTGGGCTTAGGTGTTTTTGGACTCATCTAGCATGCTCGCGTGGCTACGTTCAGTAGTTCGCGGGCGATGCTGTGACATACGAGCTGATATGACACGTAAATGGAGAATTTCAAGAAGATGAATAGAGGACTTGAGAAGGCATGTAACTGCACATTAGACAACGTGGACTGGCGACTGAGCTTCATGACGGAGTGTATTGAATGTTATGTTTGTCCTCTGACTATTTCCATTCAACGATAGCGATCATCGTGTATTCCCGTCGTTGGATGCTTCGTAGACCTAGTTGATTTTCTTGAGCTCGACCTCGCTATCGCGGAGTTAGCATTTTCGTTGAGTCCCCATGCGACGCGAACTTACAAGATGAGGTCAGAGTGAGGGGGGATCAAGCCTGGGAACTCCCTATCATGAAGTCAGTACTAGTTGTTGATCAGATAACAGCATGGAGGCTTACTGGTCGCCGTAAGCGAAGTCGCTGCTGATGTCCAGCTTCGCCTTCTCGCCGAGCTTCATCTGAACAACACCCTCATCCCAGCCCTTGATGACGCGACCAACACCGATGGGGGTCTGGAAGGGACCACGGCCAGTGGTACTGTCGAACTGCTTGCCCTTGTCGCCTGACTGAGTCTTGAGCCAGCCAGTGTACTCCATGGTGACCTTGTCACCCTTCTGTGGGGATGGGCCGTTGCCCTCTTGGATGATGGTCTTCTGGACACCCATGATGCGTGCGGTCGTAGTGAAAGCTCGAGTTGTTGCGCGTTGAAAAGAGGAAGGGTTAAGCAGGCTTCTCATGAAGTTGGAGGGTGAGAGGGGAGATGAGTGGAGGATGGAAGGTTGCTGCGGGCGGAAAGAAGGAACCTGGAATGCCTTGGAGGGGTAGCTTTAGTGGGGTGGTGGGGTGCAGATCGTCAGCACACAGCCTCATGCACGCTGCAAGGGCAAGGTAATCAGGGCAAGTACGACGAGCATGACCAATGAATCGAGCACGTCAGTACTTGAGGGTGGGTTGACGGCTTTTCTGGGGAAATTGCGTGATCGCATCTACGTCAGGGCATTGGAACTGGAGTTCGCGCTTGCCGCGGTAGGAGAGAACAAACTATAGCTCTAGATGCATGTGTGTGGCTGGGACGAAGATGCTTCGGCGATGGCGTTAAAGTTCTGCTTGTCGCATAGTAGCAAGCGCACTGAGGTTGCTTGCATCCTTCCACAGACTATCTAATAGTCAATTGATCTCCATGTCCAATAGACCAGTACCTCCAGTGGATCCAGGTATGTTAAAGTAAACGTGAACCTTTGTCAAACGCCGTGCCTATGAAGGGAGGAGATGTTGTACATTTGCGCGTCCCAAATCTTGCCCGCATTGCTCAACCAAACCATGACTTGTTCCTTCTCGCTTCTCTCCTTGCTTCTTGCTGTATAGGTGTTAGCATCTCTTCCGTGGCGGTTTCGCGACGCGTTGTACGGCATGGAGGGATAGTCGCGGTCGTATTGGATCGAGGGTGGAAAACACGTACCCATTGCTCTTTGCACTCTCGGTATGCCCTGATTGCACGCGTATTAGCGGAAGACCTCCTCGTGCAATGCTGAGTCTTGAAACTCCGATGTACTGCACTTACTGGAAGAAATCCGAGCACATAGCTCTCTCACCACCATTCCTCTTCAAACACTTTATACTCTTGTCCGCCGCCTCTTGACATGGATCAAAGTATTCGCTATACGCTTTGCTATACCAATCTATCAGCGCCTGTTGTGTGCAGCATACATTTGTGACGCGATCGTTGCGGTGGCGTACTTGTCGAATTTGCTGGCTTTGGAACCCTTCCATTCGTCGGCTTTCGAGGGGGTCGGTTTGTCGGACATAGTGAAGAGCGAGGAAAAGGACGTCTAAAGGGTGTGTACAGGGCGCGTGCTGGCGTGTAATTGTCAGGCAGCCTGAAGATGGCCGGGAGCAGTTGCGACGAGAGTGGATGATGCGCCGCGGAGGTGCGTTATCGATAAGAACATACATGAGGTCGAGAGGCACTCACGCACTTTCCCAATATCACTAACTGCCCTGCGTATCCTGAGGTCCGCAACACAGGCACTAGATTTTAGTATCTAATAATGACAGCCCTTCAATTACAGATACTGCGACTGCTAGGCTCCATAACAGCTGCCAACTATGAATCATATGAGCTACTTCCCTTGCACTCAAGAAGACCTAACTTGGCTGCTTGCTTCCTCACTATCTACTATTGATACTCACGCGCAGAACCACAGAGGCTAGCCAACGTATACATGCCTAGGTACGTGACGACCCGTCTAGCTCCATCAACGCTTCATCCAGTGTGGGGGCGGGAGGACTGCGGGCGCTAGGACGACCAGCCCACACAAACAGCATGTCGCGTGTATCAAGACGGCTGTCGTGCCATCCACAACTTACGATTCTACTTACGAGATAGTGCTAGCACCCTAGTCATGAGTTGTATGCTTCATGCATGTGATTGACAAGCGATCATGTACCTTGGTAACGTATTTGGCCAGGACTACAATTGCAGAAAACCACCACTCTTCGTCAGGCTAGGCGGTCTTGCGCATAGCACATGTTATATATGACTTGATCGGGGTGGTGCGCAGCTTGAGGACGATATCGAAGAAATATCCCTTCTTACGCACTTGAACAGTGCGGCCAGGATGCTTGTCATGCTTCGCATTAGAGGAGCCGACAAGGTCCCGCCTACAATCACAGGCACTCCTTCTCGGGGACGCTATGCATGGACCTGATAAGTGTCGAGCACGAATACTCCAACCGCAGTGATGATCAGCACTCTGAGTGAAGCGGAGCGGAGACGGGTATGAGCTGTGAGCGCAACAATGAAGGTCAATTCGACCGCGTCTGCATGCGGTGGTGCCGCGCCGAAAGCTAGGAAGCCTGTGGGGAAAGAGGCCCTCTTTCGTGCGCCGGGAATACCAGGTATTGGCGTCTTTGAACTGTGGTTGTTTGGGACCGCGGCTCAATGGAAAAAGGATCAAAAGAAACGTGAAGCAAAAACGTTGAATGATGGCATGGGCGAAAATGGAATGTGACAGGAACGTGACGAGTCGCGTGGCCCACGTCATTGGCGTGTCAAGCTTGCAATAGAAGCACTGGACCCAATGAGAAATGACCAGGTATGAGAGCAGAGATAGGCATGGAGATGGTTGGCGATGGTTGGCGCTGGAGGGTGGTGATTTTCCACGGCAGGCGCTAAGGATGGAGTGAAGGTCGATAGTGAACGGCTGCTGCGGCAAATGGCCGGAGGGCAAGGGCAACAGCGACCGAGCGCCAACATGCCTAGGCTAGTAGACCCGCTGCTGCATGCATAACCACTGCCAACGATAGTCTTTCTTCTCTACAAGGGCAAGTCCCATGTGAGCAGATGCTCCGTCTCCCAACCCCCAGCTGCACCTCGCCGTGAGAAAAGAGAGTCACCGCCCGCCATGGACAATCGAGCGTCGCCAACCCCGCCCACCGCTCGCCCCAGGAATTCCGCCTCGTCCATCGCATCCTCCTCCAACACGACGTCACATGCCGCGCCTGCCTCGCAACAGTCTGCCGGCATGCCTTCAAATTCACGGACCGGGCGCGGGAGCACGCCGACGGCCAGCCGGTCTGCCTCCAAACTCATCGACCAGGACAAGCCGACGCGGGCAGCAAGCAAAGACAGCCTCAAGCAGAAGATGCTGACCAAGAAGGACGAGCCGCCACAGCTGGGCCGCGCAGATGAAGTATGAGACTCTTTCTTGCATGGCACATGCATCGACTAACCGTCCGCAGCAGCTCAAGGCGCTCAAGTCGGAGTTTGACAGCCTTCGCACGCATCTCACATGCAAGATCTGTGACCGCTTACTCTACCAACCGTACACCATTTCCTGCGGGCACACCTACTGCTATACAGTAAGACGCGCACCCTCCCACCACATATGCCACCCTCTAACATGCCTAGTGTCTCTGCACGTGGTTCGTCGCCAACAAGGCCCGCAAGACATGCCCCGACTGCCGCATCGTCGTAAAGGACCTGCCCGCCCCCGCCTATGTGGTAAGTCAGCCTGCATGCCGTTCAGCGACGACGTCTAACACAGTTGGTCAGATACGAGACATGACGAGCGTCTTCATCGCGCGAGCCGAACTACTACCCACGGGCGAGAGCATAGAAGACCACAAGAAGTGGCAGAAAGACGAGGCAGATGCTGTGCAGCTGGACAAGGATAACGCGGACCCCCGCGCTGGCGGTCTCTTCAAAGGCTGCTTCAGGCTTCCGCCTCACCAAAACCGCCTGTCACTGCAAATCGTGCGCGATCAAGAAGATGGAGTTGACCGATGTCCGCTGTGTACCTGGGAGCTGGAAGACGGCGGATGCACCCATTGCGGACTGATATTCGACGAGACAGGCGAAGTCTCATGGGGCAACAGCTTCACCGGCTTCAGTGACATGGACGAGATGTCAGAGCACGATCAAGACGACCTCGACGCCGAAATGGACATGGAGGACCCCGACTACGACGGCTACGGAGACGGCATGGAAGACTGGGGCGCATACCCGCCAGATCAAGGCTCCTTCATGATGCGACGCTTCTTGGACGCTGGCATGGCACCAAATGCAGCGGCATTCGCAAGACGACGACCGATCACGCATAGCGAAGCCGGCAGCCGACGCTCCTACTCACAGAGCATAGTCTCAGACATATACGGCGACGAGATGGATACGGTTGAAGAGGAAGACGAAGATGGCCTGGACGAGGACTCTTCGATGAACGACTTTATCGATGACGAGGCCGTACCTGCATCGAGTTCACCCAGCGCCGCATCGTCCACTCCTGGTCCTGCCGCCCAGCCTTCGGGTAACAGAGCGCGTGCCCGAGCACGTCGCATCGTCGAATCTGAGTCATCATCAAACCGCTCGAGCACCGTCGAGGAGGAAGACGAAGACGAGGAAGACGAGGGGCCCGTTCGTAGGGGCATGAGGAATCCTGCTCAAACCCGTGTCTTACATCGGGCAAACGGGTCGAGATCCTCCCGTGAGACAGCGTCAACAACCTCCACCGACGTCTCCACTGAGGAGCTCGACGAAGATACACAAGCACTGTTGCGAGAGGAGGGGTGGGAGTTACAACGCGACTACGACGACGAGATGGGAGAAGAGGATGAAGATGACAGCGATGGAGGAAGGACGACCGTTGGGTGGGAACCGCTTGCGAACTCAAATGACAGAAGCCGAATGGGCGGTTCTCTAACACCTACTGCAGATCGTCCTCGGCCTAGTGCCCCGATACGCCCGCCTTCCAGAACCGCCAATGTCCGCGTCTTGAATACCTCGCGTGGTATCCGCCGAAGATCCTCTGTCCTGTCGGGCGCGACAGCCCACTACGAAGATGGGGAAGCGGACGACGATGACTCTGACCAAGATGGCGACGTCGATCTAGCCCTGAACACCTTGCGGACGCGTCGCTCACAAGCCCATCTGCGAAACCCTGCAGCTCGCGCTTACAACCAGGGGCCTGCTGCTGCGGATGGAACCAACGAGGCGGACACTGATGATAACTCGGATAATTCCCAAGGGCACAGGCGAGGGGCTCCTCGCGTGCCACGCCGGGAATACGATCCGCGTATCAGCTGGATGTTCGCTGCCCATCAACAAGCTCTCCAACAACACCAGATGGCGGGCGCCTTGATAGACGTCGAACCACGCACCATGACACCGCTGTCTCGTCCTCGAACAAGGAACAGAAATCGGCCCAGTCCCGCGCAAGCTTATTCACCCTTTCTACCTCCTGCGCGCATTCGAACGCCGCTTATGGACAACGGCACGAACTATATCATGGATCCGCGACTCCCAATATCGCCACCTCGACGAAGCGCCATGTCACCTGGCCTACCAGCGATGGGCAATGCCGGCAACATGGGCCGCTTTGATCGTGCGCCTTCTGTTGGTTCCAACAGCAATAGTTCTGCCGTCTTGACCCCTGGAAGTTCCTCAGCCTCTTCGCAACACTCCATCGATACGATAGCACAGACACAGGCAGCTGCAGCCATGGACATGATAGATCGTCCTATAAGTCGAGTCGGTGCTCGCCCATCTTCGGCAAATAGCAGGAGGAACTCTGGCAACTTTGCTGCAGCGAACGCGTTTCCTCATGCTGCCATGGGCTTGCATGTCCAGGGTGCGGCTCTTCCTCCTTTTGCTGCGCGCGGTAACCCTTGGGCTGCATTTGTGCAGGCACGTGGTGTGCGCAATCGTAACTCGCGTCAAGTTCTCCGTGATCAGTCTTCGGTAGCTACCTTGCGCCCAGCGAGCTCTCGCGTCAATATTAGAGAGGCTGGCAACCCTCCGCAAGGCGTGAGGCCTCAGCCATCACGTCTCAATCTACGACCTCAGCCATCGCGGCGCCAACTCGCTCCTCAGCCATCTACACGAGCCTTGCGCACGGCTGATAATGGGAGACCTCCCCCATCACCTACACAGAACGTACAAGCACCTGCGCAACCTGCTGCTCGTTCCGTCGGGCTGACTCCGGACGAACGCAATCTTCGGGCTCGGGAACTTATCGAGACCAGAAGACAAGCACTTGGTCAGCGAGACACGAGTGTGCCCGCTCGTACCAATCCGTTCACACAAGGCTTCCAGCGTCCGGCGAATCCAACTGGCTCTCCTCAGATGCAGCAGCCAGCTACAGCACAACACGTGAGGAGCAATTCAAACGAGTCCAGCAACTCCACTGGGACGGTTCAAGGTGCTCCTGCATCACCAGTGCTTGGTCGACGCCGTAGCAACCGCAACATGCTAAACTCTACGCCACCCGGTGTTCTCCCACCGCAACAAGGTGCTTATGCTGCTCCTCCCGCACAGTATGCAAACAGCTACTACCGACCACGGCCAGGTTCCTCGGGCTCGCCCGGAGCATATGAACCCACTTTGACGAACAACACGCGGGGAAGTCCTATGATGGCGGGCCCTCTTATCTAACACGACATCATGTCATAACATATATTTCCTTTACTTCATCGCTTTGTTGCTGTGGTGTTTTGGGCATCACACTCTTTTAGTCTTGGACCATTTTTATATTTTTGGGCTAAGAGCATGGCGAGCGCATGTCTGTTTTTGCGTCTGTTGTTAGCGGCATCAAAATGGGTTCAGCGAGCTTTGTCGAAGCATTTACTGGCGTCATTCATTCGGGTACTATACCATGGCATGAGCGATTGGGTCCTGGGCAGGCATAAACATGAACGATGGGGAAGAAAGGGGATATTATCTTAGGTTATTCGCATTTGGGGTGATGAATATGAGATTTTTGATGGTGCTATACTTGGAACTACACAAGGGTGACAAGCTAAGTCTGTTCTGAAGCAGTTTTTCCAGACTTGTTCTTAGGTTGCTTGCGCTGGTCCTTCCTTGCTTCCTGTTCCTCTTCCGAGTCCTCTTCTAGATCCTCTTCATCTCCTTCCTCAGCCTCTTCTACTTCGTCCCCTACTTCGTCTCCTTCGACTTCATCTCCCTGTTGCTTTTTTTGCTTTGCGTTCTGCTCCTTCTGCTTTCGCTCCCTGTTTGCCCGTCCCTCATTCCACACCTCTGTGTTCTTATCTCTACATTCCTTACAGTTCACCCAATTGGAACGGGCGTTATCTTCCAGGTAGTTCTCCTCACACTTTTTACATAATCTTGGCTCCTTCTTCTTGCATCCGTCCTTACTAACGCTTGTTTTCTTGACGGCTCGTGTCTTGACGTTCGTCTTGGCAGCTGTTTTCTTGACGTGTGTCTTCTTTGCTTCGACTTCTTGCTGATCCTCACTCTCTTCATCATCTTTGTCGTGCTCGGCTCCTTCATCGTCGTTGTTATTGCCTACCGGCGCAGCAGAAGACCTCAGTTCGAAGCCATAGAGGAAGTGGAGTCTGTCTGTCTTCTCCTTGAGTTCCTTCTGTAGAGCTGCGATGCGCTCAATCAGGGTTTTGATCTCCTCACGGAAAGGAATTGGTTGGATGGGAAGTGACATTTCGTAATTTCGTTGTTTTCCATTGACTTATCCCGTGGTTTACTTATATGGTATGGCCTGGTTTGTCTGTTTGCATGGTGCGAAGTCTAGAGAACGTACAAGTTGGTCGAAGAATGAAGTTGGAATGTTCTCGTGCTTTGATATGGGCGACATGACACACTGCGTTGCGCGCGAGGAGTGAGATTGATGCTACGGCATGTTCTCGGAAAGAGCACCATGACTTTTAGTTGCTCAACCCATGACTTCACGTCTTCACCACGGAGAAATCCACTGAGCTCTAGGCCTGTCCATGCCCATGTCCCATGTCTTCACACCACTAACTGCTCTTTACGATTATGCTAGGCAAATTTGTTCCCCAATTACTCTTGCTCGTCCATGACCGCATCTATCCTCTTCGACACCCCCTCTAGGTGCTCACGGGACCTCTTCTCAGTCTCCTCCACATTCGCTAAGCCCTTTTTCAGCCATTCTCTCAAGTCTCTGAACCAGTAGTATGCCGATTCTTCCATCTTCTCCTCCTCCTCCCTAAACTCTTTAGTCAATTTCTCGACAGCCTCAGCTCTAACCCACTTTCCATCACTGTTCCTGGCGGCAACCGCCTTGGTGAATGAAGTGAGTCTTTCATTTAGTCCTGATTTGTTGGCGGCTTTGATATTGCGTTCCATACGATCGAATCGTTGGGCAAGACTTTGTATGTCAGTTCTGATTGCACTGATGTCCTCCAAGAGAAGTTGGCTAGCATCTTTGGCGGTTTGGGTGGCTGGTTGGATGTCTTTCTTGTGGAGGAATGGGGGGTCCATTGAGTCTGTGTCTCCTGTCGTTGTGGTGATGAGATTTAAGATGAACAGGATAGGAAGAAGTGAGAAAGCGGATGTCTTATAGTGCTACTACACTACATCCCTTGTGGGTTTGTCACAAACCGAATGACCGGATCGCATGATTACATGGCAAATCAACGGTTTTCTAATTCGTGGTACGCATGTTATGAGCTCGATAGCCGTCCTCGACCTTTAAGAGTCTCCTAGTCACGAGCCGGTTGCATGTCTGAACGATGATTTAGCCTTTCTATATCCATAACTATGCAATCAGGGTTTTGTGTCACGCTTATGATAACGAATACTACAAAATTGGGGTAGACACGTGGAGGCGATGCATACACCGATCTAAAGACAAAAGCCATCTGCCCGACGTCTCATCTAACTACCTCCCTCCCCGGTCTTTCCATCGTGGCTATCAGCTACTTTTCAAGCTCGTCAATCCTCTTCATAACCTTCTCAAGCGCTTTCTCCACCATCCACTCCAACTTCTCATAAATCCATTCCGGCCCCGCAACAGTCACAGCCTTCCTCGCGTATTCTTTCTGCATCTCCTGCATTGCCTCCGTCTTCATCTCATCCATTACCAGACATGAAACCATGTTTGGAACCATTTCCCCCCTCACGGTTTCTTCCACGCAGGTTTCCAACAGGGATTGGAATTCCTTGATCTTATCCGTGATGGTCTTCCTGCCTTCGTCTGCGTCGTTGCGGATCTTGGCTGTGCTTTCAGCGGTGAGCGTATTGACAGTGTTGGTGAAGGCGACAGTTGCGGTGACGAGAGCCATTTTGCTCGCGAGATCTGCGTTCTTGTTTCGCAGGTCGTTGATCTCGCTGGGGAGATCTTTTGTGTCGTTCTTCATGCTGTTCAACTCGTTTTGGAGGCGCTGGAGAGTAGATTCCATGGCTTTCTGTTTGGTTTGTTGGGAAGTGGACATAATGTAATGGTGTGATGAGAGAACGGTACCGGATGGCGAGAGATAGGTTGTCTTATACAAATCTGGAAATTAAATAAGTTGCGCTCAATGAGTGCTGCGCGTGGGCTAGATAGCAAACACACATGCTATCTTGTGATCTCGGGCGCAGTATGCATGTCACGGATCGCAGTCACCTACTCAACTCTACCTGTGAGTTGCAAGCATTCATTTCGTCACCCCTCATCTCACTCACACTCATTCCGTACCGCGATGCCTCTCAGCCTCTATTAGCCATTTATACGTCACAGCGATTACGTATTAGAGAATTGTAGGAGGTTTAGGGGAAATTAGAGCTTGACTAGTAACTCGACGAGATCGCCATGCTCATACTCTTGACAGCCGATGTTCCAGTCCGAAAGACATGAAAGGCCGCGGTGATGATACAGCCGACAAGCTCCTCTCCTCGTACACCAACATGATCGACGATGTACATCAAGTATTCCTTCATAATACTAATCCACCAAGTAGACGCCCGCTTGTAGCACCGCGAAGAAAGTCTCTCGTAAGATTCCAACACCCTCCTCGCCGTGCACGGCCGCCGATAAAGTTGATTAGTCCTGGTTCTTGAACTCGCTGAGCTTCGCAAGCGGCTGACCCTTCAACAGCTTCAGCTCCTTACGGTAAGCCTTTCCTTCCTGACCAGCTGCTCCCGCCTCAGCCGTCGACTTCAGCTTCTCCAGCAGAGCCTTATTCTTCTTGAAGAGGTTCCGATAGTGCGTGAACATACCGACCATTCGCGTCTGTAGCAGGCCCTTGTCTTTGATGGCTGCCTTCTTCTGCAGCTTCATCTCGTGCTTCGACTCGGAGTCTCGGCTGAGCTCGGCAAGCTGTTCACCTCGCTCGCGGAAGTCTCCATCCAACTTGGCGAGTTGTTGTTGCAGTTTCTCGATGTGCTCGCGTGCGACTGAAGCTTCTTCCGCTGACTGCTTCGCGGCTTTCTGGTTGTCGATAGCAGTACGGCACTCAGTACCCAGCTCGGCGAGTTTGCCGGACAGGTCGGTGTTTTGCTCAGTCAACGACTTGTTCCTTGCCTTGAAGCGTTTGATCTCGTTCTTGAGTTTTCTGTTCTCAGCTGCGGCGGCCTTGACGTCTCCATTGGACTGTCGCATCTTCTTGGACGCGAAGAGCTTCTTCTGGTCGCAGATGTCCTGTGTCAAGGCGGAGACATTGGCCCGCAGAGTACTGTGCTCATCTTTGAGTTGCTCGACGTTGTGTATGAGATCGGTGTTCTCTCCTGTGAGCTTCTCGTTGCGTTCACGTAGTATCTTCAGATCTTCTCCGTGCTCGTCTTTGAGTTGCTTGACATTGCGTACAAGTTCAGCATTCTCTCCTGTGAGCTTTGCGTTGCGTTCGCGCAGTATGTCCAGATCTTCTCCGGCAGCTTCTTTCTTTTTTGCCTTGGTCTTCCACATACGAGTCTCATCTTGGATGACACTGATGGTGCGCAACAGTTGACTCTTCTCATCAGAGAGCTTCTCGTTGGTCTCACGAAGTATCTGAATCTCCGCGCTAGCGTCGTCTTGAGCCATGCCCTCCACAGCGCCATGTCCGTCTCGAACTAGCTTGACACTGCGCGTGAGCTTTGTCTTATCCTCTGTGAGCTTCTTGTTACTCTCGCGAAGTATCTTGATTTCTGTCGAGGCAGTCTTCTCCTTTGCCTCATATCTTGCCTTCAACATGGCTATATGATTCTGGGCGATGAGGTTGTGTGAAACATTTACTCCTCCCTTCTGCTTGACTGCTTCTTCCAGCTGCGCGATGTACTGATCAGTACGCTTTTGCTCTTCCAGGAGGGATTTCTCTTGGCTTTCCAAGGCCTCCTTGCCCAGTGCTGCTTCCAGAACTTTGCGTGTCGCGAGCATGAATGTAGTGTTCTGTCCTGGACCACGCGCCGTGGTGTTGATCTTAGCAGCAATCGCCAAGGCATTTCTATCGCCGATCTGTGCTCTAGCTGCAGAGCTGGAGGAGACTGCCCAGGTCGAGAAGTCGTCGGGTTCTGTATGCGTTGGACCTTGACCAATACTGACTGGTTTTCTGGCCGCAGGGCTTGGGGAGAGAGCTTGAGCGAAGATGTTGTTGGAGTTGACGCGCGGTGTAGCTTGATCACCCTCGCTTCGCTTTCTGGTCGCAGAGGTAGGAGTGACAGCCTGAGCCGATACGTTGTTGATTTTCGTACGCTTTGTA